ACGGCATCAACTTCGACTGGTTTTGCATTTCCTATGGCCTGACTTCGTACTTTTGCAGACTCTATGACGTGACATAAATCAAACGCTTTATCCAAAGTCAAGGTACCATCTTGTAATAGCCTCTCCTGTACGGTCTCACTCCTTATTCCACATGTAATCATAGTGACTATCAAGCTGTCTTGCATGGTATCTAATTTACACCTGCTGGCCTTTTTTTTAATTCGATGATAAAATCTTCTGTAGTTTGGGATTCTTCTTGTCGATATGAGAAAAACTTATACCTTTCATAGGCTATGTTCTCTTTGCCCATAAAATGCTCTTCAAACTTGGCAAGTAAAGGTTGTAATTTGTCTTTCTCTTCCTGCTTTATCACAAACGTTGTGTAGATTTTAAACCACTCGTCACCGATGTAATGGAATAGTTGAGCGCATTGTGTAACTTCGTCCTTTTTACATACTTCCGAAGCTACTAGGTAATTTTCAAATCGAGCTCGCCATAATTTCCAATTTTTCGCCTGATTTCCTCTCAAAGACAACGGTACAATTCCACGACTGTCGCCCATTTTGTTTCTCCGACTCGAAATACGACACCAAATTTTTTCTTGTGTAATTACTAATTATATTCCTACAACTTCGTAAATTGTAATTTTGTATACTCACATAAGTTTTAAAAATGAGTAGGTACTACTCGACTGCGCCATGTTACGTCAGGGCCGGACCTACCAATTTTTTCTAGGAGGGGCAAGCTTCATTTTTGGCCCCCCCCCCCCCTCGATTTACAAAAAGGCATACTACTATATGAGTCGTATATGAAGTTGAAGTAAAACTTGGTTGAATTAGAAAGTGTTATTTTAATGAAATAAAAAAAATTTCCATTTTACATTAATTCAAAACAATACAAACAATAAAAAGGACCTAATTCTAAGTAAGATAATAGTGGTTGGTTTTATTTACAACACATGTTTCATATCCTATTCAATCCATTAACTGATTATAAAATTTTTATCTTTCGAGCCTTCTTTGCAGCAAATGTGTTAATTATGTGATCAAAAGAAATCAAAGAAGCCCTTTCATGTTCAATGGATATATGCTTAAATTAGTCAGTTGTTGCTGTTTCATAGCATTTCTTAGGTAGGTTTTTATAAGCTTTAATTTGCTGAAACTTCTTTCTCCAGTATATGGATATTTTTAAAGCTACATATATATTTGGATAAACCTCTTCCAACTTGCTGTTATACATTATTTTGAGCAAAGATGCTGCTGTTGCGTTTTCAATTCCATCTTCCATAGTTAGGGCATGAAACTTAAAACTCTCGATTTCATTTACAAGTTCTTCTTCGTTTAAATCATTTGTATATGTTGTAGCTAATTCTTTAGCTTTACTTTGCAATGTTTTAACGTCCAGTTTTTTAATTTGATCCCCACACAAAAAACTAAACTTGTCGGCAATCATTTTTAATGCATCGTACCTGTTACTTAGCTCAGTAATAATTCTATCACAAATTTGGAAAAGTGATCTTTTGAAAAGTTCTTCTTGCGTAAAATTTGGCCCATCATCTTCATATATGTCTCCTGTCATTTTTTTTTCTCTTTCTTGTTTCCTTGTACTCTGCCGTTATGCCCATATTACTAGATAACAATTTTGCCTCATCAATTGCCTCTGAAACAGTTAAGTCCCTGGTTGAAGATAATACATTTAGAAGACTTGTATGTTTCTTGCAGCATTATCTACTGTTGTGTCCTCTCTTTGCAAAAACTTACTCACTCGATCAATTTTCTTGAGGACTGAGTACCAAAAGCATGTCATTACAACATATTCATACCTTTTCATGTTCTTAATTAGAGATTTAGCTTCAGATCTTGTTTCTGTAGATGAGAATTCATGGGTGGTTAATTCTTCAAGTGCAGACAGCACCTTGTCCATATGTTTATATATAACCTCCACAGAGTCAATCCTTGCTGACCATCTTGTTTTACTCTCTGATTTTAATGAAAGGGGAACATGTTGTTTTAAAACTTCCCACCTTGATGTTGACGCATGAAAGTAGTTGTAAAGGCTGTTTATAAGGCCAAAATATGATTGTGCTTCAACACACGCCTCTGTCGAATGAACCCCAACTAAATTTAATGAGTGTGCTGAACATGGGACAAAGTAGGCCAGTTTGTTCTCTTGGACAATCCTTGACTGGACACCCTTATATTTCCCAGCCATGTTTGCCCCGTTATCATACGACTGGCCCCTGCAATCCATCAAGTCTAGACCATCTTTTTTGAGTTTTTCAGCGATACTTTCAAAAAGACCCTCGCCTGTTTTTTCACTCACAGTAAAGAAATCTAGAAAACTTTCACATACTTGTGGCCCTTCGTCATTAAATTTAATGTAACGAATAACTTCAGTCATCTGTTCATTTTTACTTACGTCAGGGGTACAATCAAAAATCAACGAAAAATATTTAGCTGTTTTAATGTCTTTAATTATGTCTTTTCTAATTTCATTTGTAATCCCATATAGCATATGTACATACAGTGTATGTACATAAGACATACTTAATTAAAAATCGCAATGTACATTGTACGTCCATCAACGCCTTATGTACCTCCTATGTACGTACGTACATATGACATCCATTTGACACAACATTGTACTGGGTATGTACGTACATAATTTACGGCCAGCGTACGTACATACAGGGCCTTCATCAATTACTGAGACCCACGTGACCAAATTTAAATTTCCCGCTTTAAATATTTTTTCTTTAGACACGGACAGTTGGTTAAAACAAAATACCCAAATTGCATATTTGTTTATTTCACCTCCTGTCAATCTTTGCTTGTGTTTACCGTTTTTTTCGAATTTCTTTAACATTATCTTAGATCAACAGCCAAAACAGTTCTTTTCAGAGCTCTTAGACGAAGTTATTCTGATGTAAGTTAACAATTTTTTAAGGAGAATTGTCATTAAGTTATTCTGAATTTTTAGTGTATCGCTGTAGGAAGATGGTGTTATTTTAATGGCACATTTCCGCAGTGGTAACCGAAATCCTGATGGAACTTGCAGCTATTCACTGCAATCGTGCATTGAACAGTTTTCCGAAGAGTACCCTGATGTTAATATCGACTACGATGTATTTAAGAACCACAGGTCACGTCTAATAACACGATATGAAAACAAGCACTGCATTTGCAAAGGGAAGTCCGGCAGACCGACTGTTTTAAGTGAAAATGTTGTTAACGATATTCAACAACGAATGGAACAAAGTCCCAAAAAATCGATTTCTCGACTTTCCGCTCAAACAGGTACGGCTAAGTTTACGTGTATTTGTGTAATAGAAAATAAAATGTATTTTTTATAGGCCTATCGACTGGTACCTGCCACAAAGCTTTGAAGAAGGTGCTACACATGCATCCGTACAAAATTTCTTCCGTGCAACAATTACATGCACTTGATTACGATCGTCGAGTGCAATATTGCCACTGGTTCAACGAACGCTTAAACGATAACAATTTGTTAGACCTAACGTTTTATTCAGACGAAGCATGGGTACATTTGTCAGGTTACGTTAATAGCCAAAATTACCGGACTTGGGCAGCAGAAAATCCGCACATTTTTGTCGAAACATCTCTACATCCCCAAAAGGTTGGCGTTTGGGTAGCCATGTCAAGAAGGAGGATAATTGGACCGATTTTTTTTTATGAAACTATAAACGGAGAGCGATATCGTGCAATTCTGCATCAAGCTATTGAAGAAAATCTGCAAGATGATGAGCTACAACATGGATTTTTCCAGCAAGATGGAGCCACGGCACACACCGCTAACGAAACGCTTAGATACCTCCAAGAATTTTATGGCGATCGAATTATAAGCACTGGTTTGTGGCCTCCAAGAAGTCCTGACCTCACACCATTGGACTACTTTTTGTTTGGACGAATTAAAAATAATATATTTAAAAATCGACTGCACACACTCGAAGAATTGGAAAGGGCGATACGACAAGAAATAAACGATGTGACGCAAGATGAACTCGAACGTGTATTTGAAAATATGAAGCGTAGAGTGAATTTGTGCCTGGAAGTGAACGGTGGCCACTTTGAGCACCTTTTGTAACAATAAATAGTACAATATATTTCGTGTTTCTCTAAAATACTTAATTCGGCCTTCAAATATTACTGGGCTTCAGTAGTAACTTTCCTAGGGGAAAAAAATCAGGATTACCACTCGCGCATTTTTAGTTGCCTAACCACCTGCAGTCACGTGGGTCTCAGTAAGTAATGAAGACCCTGTATTTTACCATTATCGTACATACCTTTGTCATGAATAATGCACATATCACAACTGAATATTTTATTTTACATAAATAGAAAACAATCCAATAATAGTATTTTACATTATTAGCCAGGTAAGTGAGTTTTTACTGGCGATAGGAGAAGTTGACTGGCGAGCCTGTCATCTCCTAGAGCCAGTAAAAACTATTACCTGGCGTATAATGTACAATATTTTATTTGTTACTCATTTGTAAACGTAAATAATTAGTTCTTAAATTGATCTCGAAGAAATGTCTAAAATATCATGTTATCCATGTAACAGAGACTTCGCATTAATTCTGGCCAATGAAATTACTAGATTACTAACTTGTAAAATTTTTACAGGTCAGCTGTCAGTTTTACAAGTCAGTTGTCAGTTTTACAAGTCAGTAGCGTTTAAACATGACGTTTATCCGTTTGCGTTTTGTCTTGTTAATCAACGTTTACAACTGAGTAACAAATAAATAAACTTACATTCTTATAGTAAATAATAGTAAAAAATGAAAATATATTTAATTTTGTTTATTGCCTCTCTCCAGACACCTGCGTAGCCATTTTGTTATATTTAATTCCACTTTCTTGATAGTCGATTGTTTAAATTGTTTTATTGAATAAATAAAATTATCAAGTCATATTAAACATTAAAAAACTTACTTATTAATAATTCATTCAACTTTAAATTGCGGAATGGTTGTTTTGGTCTTCTGCCTAAAAAACTGAATGTCTCACCACAACTGATTTGTGATTAGTTTTTGACAGGACCGAGAAATAAATTCGTATAAGTTTGCTCCACCAATTTGCGAAATTTCTTTTGCCTTAAAGAACATTTTTTGTAAGTATAGCTGCCTAGTTTTATGGAGTGCTTTAGGACTTCGTACAGCGAGTAACGTTTCACATGACGTAAATAAATCTTATAGACGCTTTACCATAGGTACTCACAGCAAATTGTGGCTTCCTACTGAAAGAGTAGCGAGCACAAAACCCTAAAGCATTCTTAATTGTGTACAATAATTTACTCAATTCAACATTTTTCGTAAATAGACTGTTACCGCTTTATCCAGTTTTTCTGAAGTAGAAAGATAATTTTCTAATTCTTCTAATTGTGGCATTGTGTTGACTGGCAAGTTAGCAATGTTAGTAAAGAGAGAATCAACCCCTTGAATATCTTCTGCTGCTACTTGAGTATTTTTTTCGTTAGTTTGGTTGCTGATGTCCATCATCATGGACTGTAGAATATTTTGTTTACGAACAATTTGTTGTTAATATTCTAAAAAGCGAAGCAATTACACAACAACCTTCAAGGATGACCTAAATCTTACTAAGAATTGTGTCTGTCTGAACTAGTGTCTGACTGCGAATGAGAATTAGTTGATGCAATTTTGGTATAGCTAAGTCTCATTGTCTGTGTACCACGTATTGCAGGTGCTGTTCTTTCAGCATCTAAAAAATGAATAAACATTTCTGTTTTTAATTTTTCATACACATGCAGAGTATAAGTACCTTGCAGCACCACAGATTCAAGGTTAATATTATTCTCATCTTGATTTTCGTTATTATCATCATTACAGTTGGACATTGATTCATCATCCATCTCATTTGCAATCACAGTATATTTTGATTGTACTATACAACTACTTATTGGGGAATTTTCACGTGCACCCAAGTGGTTGGAACGGCACACACTGAGTCTTCCTCGGGGAATTTTATAACTGACCAGGTCAGTTTTGCATCCATTACAGGAGCGAGTTGCAATTCTAGTTGTCAACCATTTTGGAGTGATTATGAAAAAAAATTTTTAATATTAAAACTGCAAGTAATTTAAGTAAAACACCTTCCTTTATGAAAGGTGACAGTGTCTAACAAAAGGTTACTACATACTATAAGTTTATAATTTTAACACATACTCTCAAAAACACTTTTAAATAAATCAGCAAATATAGCTAGAAAATCAAGCATTACATATAATCATTGGTATAACTCAATTATAGCATATAGCTTCCTTTTTTATTAATCATTATGCATAAAACTTCATTAGCTAATTGATTGAGTGAAGTAAAGGAACTACTACGAACTTGTCGTTATAGTTCATTTTAAAAAACTTGCAGGAAATTTCTTCTACATCCAAGATCCTAATGGACCTAGGTCATCCACAACATAAATTCCTAATGTGGAAGATGGACATGGTTGTAAATAAAAGTCTTTGCAAGTATTAAACTTGCGACTAATTATAAATAAATCATCGTTAGAATTGGTCACAAAGTTTTCAATAGAAATAATACTTTTGTCTTTTAAACCGCAGCAATTATCTCCTGGAGAAAGTTTTAATACAAAATCATTAAAGTGAACACACTTATATTGATTTATATAAAAGTTTCCTAACATAGGACCATTAAAATGTTTATGTTGTGGTAAAGGACTTTTCACTGAGGCTGGAGGTTGCTCTTGCACATTATTATTTTCCAGAATTCGATTAACAATTTGTGACAATGGATTATTTCCTTTGCGAAGTAACGATTTTAGTGATTGTAGGTAATTTTCAAATGGAAAAGCAGAAAATTTTTGCAAAATCCCAAAACGTTGACAATCCTCATAAACATGCAGTAAGTTATGTACGTTATGAGAGACATATTCTTCTCCATATACAACTATAAATGTTTCAATAAAATATTTTAATAATGAATGTGCATAACTACCAAATTCTTGCAAGTACTTCTCATTTGACCAAATAGTCACACTAACATGTAAGCTTAAAAAGTTCATATAACGATCAGGAGATAGAATAGATTTTAAAACTATAGGTCCCGTGTAATATAAGAACTGGCGAAACTCTGTCGCTTTAAAACGTTTTAATTCTGAAAGTGAACGCGGCTTTCTCACAAACTCACATGGAACACTTTTTGCCAACCGAATCAAAGAGTTGGAAATGTTAGAAATATCGCAAAACGGTAATTTAGTTTTGGGTTTTCCATCAACCCGTAATAAAAATAATTTTTTGTAGTATGGGGAAACATAATAGTATATTAAAGAACAAGTTTCATAAGTAGCTGTTTTATCGCACGTGTCCAGTTTGGAAAACGAGCCGCGTAGCGGCGAGTTTTCCAAAGGACAAGTGCGATAAAACGGCTTATGAAACGAGTTATTTATACTACTTTTTCTATTTCGCGTGATTTCTATTGTAAAAAACTAAAAATAGTTCAAAATTCTGTACTACTTCACATTAGTTGTAAATGTTAAGTTGGTAGCACTGGTTCGCTTTTTCAAATTGAAAATTTTGAAGTTTCAATTTTTGCGCAGATATAGCGAATTGCCATTTGGTACTGCAATTTTTGTGAAATAGAAATGGAAGAGCAGCACGAAATCATAACTTGCACGCCACCTGAATTGCGGGAAATAGCAAACAGTACCGTAGATAATTTGCTTCCGCAGAAATCGAAACTAAAATATGAAAAGGAATACCTTAAATTTGACCAGTGGTGTAAAGAAAATAAAGCCCAACACATTTCGGAGAATGTTTTATTAGCATATTTTGAATTACAAACTCATTTGAAAAAGCCATCGTCATTATGGTCAATGTATTCGATGCTACGATCCTACCTAAATGTGCATAAAAATGTAGATATATCAAGATACGTCAAGTTACAAGCACTGCTAAAAAGATTTTCGCAAGGCTATGAGCCAAAAAAATCAAAAATTTTAGATTTAGAGCAAATTAATCGATTTATTCAGGAGGCTGACGACAAGCATTATTTAGATACAAAAGTAAGTAGAATTTTTTGTTCTAGTGGGTAGGTACTAGCTACAGGAGTATCTTGTTTGTATTCTCGTTGTAGGTTATTTTAATAATGGGCTACAGTGGGGCATGCAGACGCGAGGAGCTGACTAATATGGCACTGGGCGACATCCAATATAAAAATGATATTGTTGTTGTATCGGTGCCTAAAACAAAAACAAATGTAATGAGACAGTTTGTCATCACCGAGAAATTGTGGATTGATATTATAAAAAAATATAGCAGCATAAACCCAGTTAATACTTGCCATCAACGATTCTTTGTAACATACCGTAGTGGTCGCTGCATTACTACTCCGATCGGAATCAATACAATGGGCAAGACGCCACGAAAGATTGCAGAGTTTCTACAATTAGCCAATCCGGCACAATACATCTGGGCACTGTTTCCGGCGTTCAAGTGTCTCACATTTAGCCAACAGCGGTAGTGACTTGGTCACCATTAAACGACATGGCGGGTGGAAGTCCTCCGCAGTTGCCGAAGGATAAGTATATTGAAACGTCGGTTCAACGAAAAGTGGAAGTTGCAGGAACTCTTGCCCAAGCAAGTAAATCATCCTCATCATTACATGGAATTCTTGCACAAGGATGTACATCAACACATGTAGAAAGTGCCGTTCCCAGTGCTATAGTTGAAGGAAATATAAATAGTGCCGAACACAACATCGTAACCCACAATTTACCTGGTATCAAAGTCAATACACATGATGGAGCTGTTACCGTCAAAGTGTACAATAATTGTACATTTAATTACGCAGATAAGGACGAAATCTAAGTTTGTTGTATTTACTTTATTATGATTAAAGCTTTCGTTGTGCAACTTTAGTTAGAAATGTTTGGTTATGTTATGTACACATTAGGAATAAATACCATCGACTATTAGCATTTGCAATGTTACCAACAGTTGAAAACAAAATCTATGCGGTGCGTTAATGGCTATTATAGAACGATACGCGATTGCGTGCGGTAATGGAGCTATAAACAACGCAAAATAGAAAAAGGGCCTTTAAAACACACGTGCTTTAAAGTTGCTAAGTAACGATACTTCAAGTATGACTTTTGAAACTGTCATCTGGGTGAAATAAAAAATCTTCCTAAGTCGCTTTCTGTAAATGCAGAACATTTCTTTGGCTTGTACCTATCCTTTGGTTGAAGCTTTTACAAACGCGCGTAATTTAGGGTATGCTTACAAATCTGTTCCACTTTTTAGTCCCAGCAATAAGTGAAGTTTTGAATGAATGCACCAAAAGATAGAAGATTTAAATACCTTTGACATTTCCTTCATATACGCCAGCATTATCGATGCATTTAAGACTTTATTCGTAAGTAACTTCCTATTCATCCATGGAAACAACTTTTCATATGCTTGATAATAGGCTTTACTGGATTGAGATTTTACACCTACCAACGTTTGTTTAGATTTTACAAGCGATTTAATGGACGGTGTATTATCTTTTTCAACGGAAATCGTTTAATTCACAAAAACGACGATTTTTATAAGCAAACGTCAAGTGACATTTACATGGCAATCGTGAAATTACGAACACCCAGCCCACTTAATTAGACATGTATTCGAGTATAACGTCAATATGATTTCATTGAATTTCCTATTTTTAAATTATACTGCAGGTATAATAAAAAATACTATAAGATACACGTGTATAATTGGTCTTTAAAGCACTTGCATCGTTAAAGGCACTCCGCTTTGCGTCGTGCCCTTAAACTCGTTGCGCGTGCTTTAAAGACTTGATTATACACTTGTATCTTAATATACTATTATAATCCGTTATTATAATTAAAATTCGGCTTGTAATTATAACTATAACTTCGTAATAAACTTTTTACGGCGCTGAACTTTTTACGAGATATATAAGTTTTATAACCTGATAGGGATTGACGTCGCGGAAAGATAGCTCAATCAAAGTTAGAGTATAACTTATTTCAACCCTCCCAGACAACTTTGTTGTGCTTTTTTACAGCGGTATTGGCTTATATTTCTTATTGGTGATAAACCGAACTGGGCTGTATTTAAGTTTATCGTCTTTAAGGTATACCTAATTGGGGAGGAAAATATTTATTTTTATGCGCCACGCTTTAATGATCGCACGGTCTTTCTTTAAACTTGTTCCCACTAGAGAAAGTTACGGAAACGGAAACTTTCGGCTTAAAATTGTCGCGATAATTAGTTTCAAAATTGTAATGTCATGTCAGAGTGTGCATTTAGATAAAGCTCGTCAGTCTGTTAGGAATAAATTCGGAGCATTCCAAATTTATTTGGGAAATATTTTATTTTGCTAACTTCATTGAGTCCAATTATTTTCATACTTCGATTGAATTTACGTTTGTCTAGGAATAAATAATTAAATTAAATCAATAACTCCCGACTACTTGTCCTATAACCATTCACGAATACTATATTTTTTTGCTTCTTATAGAGTAGGTTTAGTTGACTATCACTTGTACACTTTTAGTGGTGAGAGCTTCCACTTCAGTCGAGCCCCACCATTACCTCATCGAAAAACGTTGAATAAGTAAGACTTATTTGCATGCCTATATCGTGTATAAAATTTGATCGCCTGTCAATGCAAATTTTCGCAACTTAATACTGAAATATGTCGAATTTCTGAAAATAGGTAACTGAGGCGGGCACCAGAAGGATATAGTGACTAGAATGCAATTGAGACATTTTTGTTTTGTGTAAGGGGAGAGTGTCCTAAAATGGCATACTTTTTTCAAAGATGCATAAATTCAATCGATCGGATCGGTCGACTTAATTTCGCTGGTTCGACTCGAATTCAAATAACTTAGCGATAAATTCCTGGTGGCTGACAAAAGTTCGTTCACGGCTCCACACGAATTTTTCCAATACAAAATGAAAAAAGCAACACCCTAAGTTATCTGTGGGTGACCGACTTAACTTCTTTTACCGCTCGACGCAAACACTATCCTGACTTAAGGCGTATTACCATGGTTTTCCACCAACAACCAAATTCCCACTACCTTTATTTTTTAATTCGCACCCATTCTGTGACGTACAATCTTCTCCACCAACAAAATCATTTTTTCTAGCCAATGACATTCCTTGACAGGCATAAATCGACTGCGCCCCGACCGGAAATTCCGCTGACTTAACAAATCTCACGCTTCCCAGCAACAACGCCTGCAAAATTCCCCTATAATTTGAACAATCCACGCCATATCTCACGACTTACCGGTGCCCTAATCTTTCAGACACATTTCACCAATCAGGGCCATATTCCGGGACTCGCCCACATAAACAAATCGAAAAAATTTAGAAAATCCTACCAAATAATGAGGCTACCCTTTATATCTTGCATGAACAAATTTAAAATCTGCGCAAATCCGGCGACGGACTGCTGTTACAAATGTGAAGAATAAGGTCAGATAGGCGCAAACCTGTTAGTTTCGCTGTCTACTACTGATTATTTATATCGTAGTTGTTAGTAACTGTAAGCAATAAGATTTACCTGATGAAAGTTGAGATCAGTTTCAGTTGACATTTGTAATAACATTACAGTTTAATCATTTCTGTTTGAGGACCGTGAATTGGATAATGGCGTAGTACAGAATGAGTTTCTAGTTATCAAATTGGATTAAAAACTATTATTTGTGCGTATTGCGTATAGTCGCGTTTATATTAGTAAGATGTATGTAAAAATCTGCATTGTACCATCTAATCTAATATTTTACTTTTCAGTGTCATTACTTCGATTTCGAAGAGGAAATTGATTTTCAAACAGGAAACGAATACATGGTGAATCACGCCTCGTCATGCTCCATTCAATAGCAAATCGTTATCATGAGAGAATGTTTTTTAAAAAATATTATAAACGTGAACTGTATACAAATATTTCAGTATTATTCATGTGAACGATTGAAATTTGAAATGTGTAAAGTAAATGATGTATTTCGTTGAGAGTAAAACTGTTTTAAAAAGTTAGTTTTTATCCCAATGCATAAAAGAAACCTTATTGTATATTGATTGTTTATTCACATGACGTTATTCCATCTGAGCTTGCATTTGTTTAAGCTATCAAAAAATAAATTGTTTATTTTCTATGAACTTGAAGAATGTACTTGTTATTTTAATAAATATTTAAAAATGTTGTATAGCACTTATTTATGGTCTTCAATGTTTTTACTTCATAAAAAAAAATCTTATTTGTTTTTCCCGCTACTAAAGGACCGGAGTGGCATAGTATCTAAAATCTCTACTGACAGGATTTTTAAATGTATACAATATTGTGTAACGAAGAACTCGTTTTCGGCGTAGAAATTACCAATTTTAGTGATCACTTTTTAGATGAACACCCGGTATCTGGAAGCGTTTTAAGTTGGGCGCTTCGTTACGAAATCGTATACGAGAACCAGCATTAAACCGACAAGGTCGTGCACGTGAAAATCAACGCGATAACAGATTTCGCCGCTTGACCTCACAGTCCAAGGAACAAAAGGGCATTACTGGACTGTCGAATTTGGAGATTTCATTCCGACTAATTGGATATTTAACATCCTCCGAGATTAAATCCGATAGCTACGACCTTAAAAAGTTTGAATTTTGACACTGGTCCCATATTTCTAAGACGTCTGGGAGGGACGTAATTAATTATAGTTCCATGACATAGCCAAATTTTATAAACTACCGCATGGAATATGATTTTAGTATTTGTTTGAATTTTAGTATGCGAATTAATTACAATTAGGTACCTAATTAAATTACCTAGATTGGTGCTACTTAAAATTGTAAAAAGGATTTTATAGTACATTAATCAAAAAGGTGGAGAACCGCTGATTTAATGTACATTTTTTTAATAAATACGTGGCGGGCATAGGAAGACACATTTTTTTAAAAAACCAAACTTTTAGTATTAACAACAAACAATACCAACGCACTAGCCTTGCTTTTTTCATAGGTTGAAATGTTGGTAACTGTTTTTGGGGTTGTTAGTTGTCACCAAAAGATTTGTCTTAAAAAAGTGTCTTTGAGTTTAAACAATGAAGGAATTAACGGTTTTCGCGCTTCTATATGGAAATGTTTGCATTCAACAGTGTCTACCTAAGGTCACATAGGCCTTAAAAACCGCCTGTGGTGACCGATGTCGTTGTATTATAAATAGTGGGCTGCTTGTGTCTTAATAGAATTTACGACAGTATCTGAGTTGCCAATTTGTCCTGGAATACTTTTACGGTTAGTAGGTATACCTAAAGCAACACTGTACGTTGTACGCTCGTTATATGTGTAGGTACGTTATTTTGATGGTCGTGTGACCCTAGCCTTAGCAGTGTCATGTAACCATGGACGACGCAAAAATACAAGTACGTTTTGCCATTTACTCCAAGAAATTGATTGCCACTTTTAGACAATTTTATAGTCATCTTGAAGTTCCGTCACAATTACTCAAAATTCGCCACAAAAGGACGTAAATCTTGATCAGCTAACGGTTGACAATAAGTGCCAAAAAAGGTGATAGCAAAAAGGCGCTGGTGGCAATCTCGATTAATTAACGACCATGAATGGCAAAATTAAATTTGGTCCCTTGTGTCCGTAAAATTTTGATGGGTAAATAGATTGTAGAGAAAAAGTGAGAGGTGGTGTGTAAAATAAATATTTTATTGAAGTGCGGATAAAATACATAAAACAGCGACGAGGTTTTCACGTTGTAAATACTCTCACGGAAACACACCTCGATTAGAAGATTGCTTGGAAAATAAAATCGTCTTACAACGTATACGCATTTGAAATTTAAAGTACTTGTAGGTATGTCGTCGGACAAGTTGCTGAGTGCACTAAAATCGAAATTTTCAGCAAAAAAAAACATCGCTGTACTTCCATCAGTATTTATCAATGAATTGCCGCTGGTTTAACCGATTTCTGCCCTTCATATAGGAAGTGCTTCATTTCTAAAGAACGTATTTCAGATCACATAAATATCCATTAGCACGTTCAAGACACAATGCGTATCGCCAAACGTACAAAAACTCGACCTGAATACAAATACTATCCCTTCATAAGATATTTGTTTTTAGGGTTATCTGTATTTGACAGTTTCATCTTGGGGGGTTTGTCTCGGAACGACCTCAAAGCGTTTTTACATACTTGTGATATTGTTCCATTAAAACTCCGCCTTCAAAATTAACTATCTCTTTGAAGTAATCTTAAAAGTCTAAAATCTCTTTGTGTCGAGTTGTATACATAACGTAATCAATGATCGTGACTGGAAAAAAATTGATGTTACAGATACTCGTACAAATAGTTATCTGTAGTTGTAACATTTAGTATTAAAGCGAATATTCTAGAAATCCCGATATACTTACATCGAGGCGCCCTAAAAGATTAGTCATCGGCGATAAGATACGAAAGCGGTTGTGACGCATTCTTTCCGGGAAATATGACGTGTTTGTTCGACATTCCAGAATATTCGCGAGCGCTCCAGAAAAATGGGCGTTTTCTATATAAGTAAAGGAACTGTACTTCAGTTAGTTCTAACATCGATGCGGTCGTGTTATGTTTTAAATTGTAAGTGATAGATACTAATTAACTGTTATAGATTAATCCATTTCAACACTGTTATGAATTTATTAATTAATTGTAAATAAATCACGTAATTAAATAGGTATTGCATTCCAAGGTGGATTCATAACGGTGGCGGCACTCTGATCGTTTTATATAGGAAGCGCGTTTACCAAATCTGACCTCGCATGCTTATTGCCTACCTTCCAGTCATAGGCTGGTTTTACTATGGAGTCTTATGGGAGATACTACGTTTTTTGTGTATATAATCATTATTTAAAGATTTCTGATGTTGTACCTTATACAATGTGTTAGTGTACCCATGGATTATGATTTTACCTTACGGCAGCAACTTCATTTTGTTTCTCCAGTACAAAAAAAAATGTTCAAAGTTTTTCCGCCTGCATGTAGGCAACAAAGCGTTCAGATGGGTGCAAGATTATCATTGAATATAAAATAACAGCTATGCCGCTCAAATTTATTTATACAATTTTAAATTTCTTTATCGAATCTTTAATTTTTTTTCTTTTATCCGCATCCTCTAGTCTGCGTTTGTTATATTGTTTGCATGTAAAAATCATGCGAGTTGTTAGATGAAACCGTAAAAGGTCTTTCGTCAATTTCCTTTTGTGTAGTTCACAGCCCACTGGTTTGTAGGTATTAAGTTTGGCATTTTTAATAACTGCAAAAGTAAAATATAATTTAAAAAAGTTAATATCGTGCAAGCAACATGCAATAGTATATTATAAGTAACAAGGGATTAAAAAGAGTTGTTGTTTTCGAAAGAATAGTTAATGTTCTTGAGGGACCAAAAACTAGTTTGATCCAGTGTTACTTATACTATTTTTTCCAACACCGACCGTTCTAAATTCATTTCGAAATGAGTATGATTTATATTATAAAAAACACTATCAAAAAGTAAGGTAGGCTATTTAACAATATGTCATGATCACAAGGGATAAAATTTTTCTTAATTCCTAGGGATTAAAATTACCTGTTAATGCACAAAAATTAGGGATTAAAATCAATAAAAACTAGGCGATATTGGAAAAAATATTTAAGCACTGTGTTATGGTGATTCGGTTAAGACTTTGCTTACCTTCAAAAAGAATATTGTCACCTAATGATGTGTGTTGCAGTGTATGGCATATAGAGCTTTCAAGATTATAAATTATTTCATATAATCCCTCAGATGGCGTGAGTAAATGTCCATCATTCCTTTTGTTAATGTAGGAATTATTTTCATTTTTGTCGCATATCTGGTCAGCTTGCAGCAATCCAAAGCATTGATCGCAGTGCTTTGCATCTGTGGCTTTCCTTGCCTTTCTTGCTACGTAACCGCAAAACATGCGTAAAGCTTTTTCGTCAATTTTATTAATTTCATGATATGAATGGTCAAAAAGCGAAATAAGGGATTCAACCGGTTCACCATTGTCAAGAAGTTCATCCAACTCTTTTTCGAATTTTACCTGTCTTTGTTTTGCAGTCTCAGATATAAGATCACTTGCATTTAATAATGAGTTCAACATTTCGCCGCCTGTTATATAACTACCTCTTGGTGGCTTAACAAGAGATGCAACAGATAGAAGGCGATATACCTGAATGAATTGAAGTGGGTCTGGATGAGTATTACATCCACACGCTTGGCGGACTTCTCCAAAGAAATGCTAAAAAACCATAAATAAGTAATTATATTACGCACCTTATCCAAGGAGATTGCATATTGCTGTTACTTTTAAACAAGGTAGTACCTCAATTGCATCTTGATTCATACGTCTTGTCATAAAATACTCATAATGAAGATTATTAATGTTAAAATGTAAATAAAACAACATGGTTTTAAGACAGAACAGACTACTGCCAAGAGCCAAACACGAATATATTTCTAATAATGATAATACAATACAGGCAGTTTTGGTTAACACTGTATACTACCATTCTGTGGCAAATGAACATATTGTTGCCTAACAGCTGGTTAAAATAATTCTATTGAACCATGGACTAATTACACTAAAGACTTTCACTGTAAATGCGCCGTTTTACCGCTCTAAATATGATTCAGCGATGGGAGTAGAGATGGCGCGGCTTGTATTTTAAGAAAATTATAAGATCAAACGAACTTACCTAAGTGATGTTCGATCTTAATTATATGAAGCGCTCCGCCCGAGATGATCAACAATATGTAGTATGTCTCCTGGAGTGAGTAATAGCACACATTTTTAAATCTGAAACTATTTTACCGACCCGACCCTCTGGTATCCTGTGTAGGTGTCATTACTATCATTCTTTTGAAAGCTCCTTTTTTGTCGCAACTAGATGATCGGGGTAGACACTTGGGTTGGGAGGGACCGATCATCTCGGGCGGAGCGCTTCATATAATTAAGATCGAACATCACTTAGGTAAGTTCGTTTGATCTTATAATTATATTCGCGCTCCGCCCTCTATGATCAACAATATGTAGATGTTTAAAGAGTTGCGACAAACTACAAATAGAACTGATTTATTTCCAGAAGTAGATATAAAAGTTACTATTCTACTTTTTTAACCTATTAACACAATAATATATATGCTTAATAACTATAAGTATACCTGTATGTTAAAGAACAGTATGTTGTTACAAACATTAGTGAAAATAATGCACTTATTTCCTAAAATAAGGCATGAAACAATGAATTTTGTGAATGCAGTGGTCTATTGTAATATTTTGCAAACGTATCGGAATTCTTGGACCAACCTGCTGTTCGTCGTATCTCATCCAGGTTTAGACCGTTTCTGCAAGCTGCCGAAGTGCTTGCATGCCTAGTGGAATGAGCAGAGAAAATTTCAGTATTAATGCCACTCTGGGTTAAAGTTTGCTTAATCCATCTGCTCAATGTCTGAGAAGTGACTTCAGTATGAGGCCGTTTTAGGGTGATAAATAATTTATGGCAATTTTTTGGTCTACGTGAACTGGTTCTTGTGAGATAGATCTCCAATGTGGTTGCCACACATATTTCAGGCCTGTCTGTTAAAAAGGGCAAAGACAAAAGAGGTTGCATTCCATTTTTACGTGAGGTTTTTATTCGATCTGGTATTTTAATTTGTATTGCTGTCCCATCGGGTATTTTATGTATATTTCGAATATCGATTAAAGATAATGTTTGTACCCGATGAGCTGTAGCTAATGCTAATAGAGTTGCTAGTTTCTTTGATAACAAAGTGAAAGATATATTTGCGCTATCACAATTTTCCAAAAACGTTAGAACTTCGCCTGGGTCCCAAGTATAATCATACTTTGGAGCGCTTGGTCTTAGCATTTGGACTCCTCTGAAAAAACGTTTGATCTTAGTATCTAGAGCAAGATTTGTTGGTATTATAAACGCCAAAGATGAACGCAGCGTATTTAATGTTGCGTATGAGGCTCCTTTATTAAATTCTTCTGTTAGAAAACTTAATATGGTATTAACATTTGCATCGTACAGGTCTAGGTTTAACTTTTGGCAGTATAACCACCAACGTTTTAATCCACAGGTATATTGCTTCATTGTGGCTTTTGAAATTGATGCAACCATTATTTCAATTGAAGAACTTGGCAATCCTTGACAAGTGAAGGCCTGTACGATAATAGTCCTGCCACCAGGGAAAGACGCTTCCAAAGTGGGTGTCGAGGTCTGTTTTGAGAAAATAACAAGTTAGGATCTGGGGTAAAAACAATTGGTTCTTGTACTAACAATGAAGTAAACAATGGAAACCAGGCTTGTGTTGGCCAATGTGGTACCACTACTATACCCTCAGCCTTGTCTGCTATAACTTTTTGTAATACCCGTAAAACCAAAATAAAAGGAGGAAATGCATAAAATCGCAATCCCTGCCATGACAAAGTAAATGCATCTACTGCTATTGCATCTGGGTCTCGTATCCACGATACATATTTCTTACACTTTGTAGTAATTCTGTTGGCGAACAAATCAATATCTGGTTCTCCAAAGTGAAGCACTATTGTTGTGAACGCTTTTTTCGACAATTGCCACTCAGTTTCTGGTTTTAAGCGACGCGATTCAGTATCAGCCTCAACGTTTTCCTTTGACTCAATATATGATGCAAATATGAATATGTCTCGGCGCTCACACCATTGCCAAATTTTGCGAGCCAAACTATTTAGAGTTTTAAATTGAACCCCTCCCATGCGATTTATATAGGCAATTGCAGTAGTATTGTCTATTCTTAATAGAATAGAACAATGGTGTAAGTTTTTGGCAAAACATTTTAGTCCCAAAAAAGCAGCCAATAATTCAAGTTGATTGATATGCCAAAGCTGTTCTGTGATACTCCAAAACCCATGTGTTTTTTGGTGGTTGCAAACTGCACCCCACCCTGTTTTTGATGCATCTGTGAAAATTTCTAAACAATATTGCTTGGGTTTTATAGTTTGTTTAGCTCGATGAGCATGGTGTTTCCACCATGATAAGTCTTTAAGCGCATCTGCAGAAATCTGCATGGCCGCGTCATAATTATTATTATTCTGACGTAGAGCTAAGAACTTGGCTCGTTCTAAATTTTTCGTATATAACCATCCATAAGGGACTGCTGGACATGCTGATGTTATAAGACCCAATAAACGTGCAAATGTTCTAATTTTACAAGTATGTGGTAAGGAACCAATGCAAGTTCTGATTTTTGTGCCCTTGTCCTCTGGTAATTCAATGCACATATTTATAGAGTTAAAATAGAATCCTAAAAACTTACACCTTTGTTTCGGATCAAGTTCACTTTTTTGTAGATTAACTACAAACCCTAGCTCTTGTAGTAATGTTACTGTTGCAATAATATTTTTATGGCAATCGACTTTAGTGTCACCGAATAAGAGGAAATCATCTAAATAAGCAACCGACATGAACCCTTTTGATCGCAGATTTGCTAGTACTGGTTTTATAATTTTTGTGAATACAAGTGGGGCGGTACAAAGCCCATTCGGCAAGCATGTGAACTCATACAATTCGTTTTCTACTTGAAATCTTAGATATTTTCTATGAGAAGGGTGAATTGAAACCAAAAAATAGGCATCTTTTAAATCAATTGATCCCATGAAACAAGATGGCTTAAGTAACTTAATGGCCGTATTTCTATCCTCCATCTTAAAGTGCTCGGTATCTATGAAAGTATTTAGTTTTTTAAGGTTCAAAATAAATCGTTTTTTACCACCAGGTTTTTCAACCAGAAAAATTGGGGATATGTATTGCCCAGCACTGGGCTTACATTTTTGAATAACCCCATTTCCAAGCATGTCAGAAATAACCTGGAAAACCTCGTCTCGGTCTTTTGCAGACCAGTTTGAGGGTGGAGGAAGTGATAATTGTTTAACTGTCCTAGTGAATGGAATGCGATAACCTTTGATCCACGTAAGAACAACTGGGTCGTTGGTAACTTTCCTCCACTGGATATAAAATCGTGATAATCTACCACCATGCCTACTCACCTCAGATATATTTGAGGTTATTGTCGTCTTTGCTGACGAGATGCTTGCGTCCAAGAGCTTGTGTGTGGTTTCTCCGACTGACGCTGGTACTTGTGACGAAATGTCTGGTGGTGGTTGCTCCTCTGATGTGGCAAGACTCGTCCGTCCAACTTCTGGTGGAATTTTTGAGGACGTTTTGCTGTGGACGGACGCTGCGAGTTTAAAAAATTTCCTGGAGCCTTTTTTGTAATTGTCTTCTTTAGATCGGAAGAAGACCGTTCCAGCGACTTCGCAGTCCTTATCCGTTCTGTTAAGTCTCCTCCGAACAACCATTCGTCTGTAGGCGAATCGTCGATTGTTGCTTTGAATTTTGTATTTAATCCCGAGCCCACTAAAATCCTCCGTGATTGAGACTCTGCAAATTGTAAGTCCGCTATCAATCTTGCAGTATCTCCAGCGACTTCTAACACCTTCCGACTCTCCTCAGTTTGTTCTGATTTTCCAAGGAAAATCATTAATAATTTTCCCATGGCTGACAAGCAGGCAGAAAGTTGTTTCTGTTTTTCAACAAGACGTTCATCCCGTCTTAACGCCGCTTCTGTAACTGCTCCTTTTACCTCCGGATTTAATTTGGGAGGTGAGGCTGCCGAACAGTTGGAAATCGGAGCGTATTTTGATAATAGTTTGTTTTTCACTTCTGTTTCTAGCCCTTGCCGAAGGATTTTTTCCCAGCGGACAGCAACATCAGAATGTACCGGATCTCCCAATTTGGATTCCGTACTCGTTTCCCCCAGTAAGGATAAAATTTCCGGTAGCAAGGGGGGTTCGTCCACAACGGGAACTTCCGGGTCGGAAGGACCTAAGAAAATAAAGTTTTAATGTTTTGCTGGGAATTGTTTCTGCTGTCATCTAGTGACAGTTTGTTTGTATTATGACAAACTAATTTTGTTGCAAAGTATAGATTGCTGCCACTAACGTGTGCATGTAACCAAACAGGTTAGGTTCTTTGCTTCGAGAACGTATCATTTTTATGATAGATCGCCATGACAGTTGCAATAATTATTTCGTTATCTAGTAACGTAATCAAGTTGTCTAGTATAAGACAACTAACCTTGACTTGGAGTTGGAGAACGTTCCCATGAATCTTCGTTTCGTAAAGGCAACTGTTCATAATCTTCTTCCATTAACTCGCAATCAACAGGTGGTGGTGGATCACTATCTTTGGCGGAAAGTGAGCGAGGAGAACGAGATCGCTGGCGGGATCTATGACGAGGCCTAGTACGGCTTCGTGAGCGGCTGCTATCTCGGCGGCCATGTTTATGTCGACGACTACGACGTGAACTCCGATCCTTTTCTTTCTGTAAAAGCTCCATAATTCGCAAAATCTTACGAGCATCCGCGTCAGTAGAGCTAGAAGAATCGGTAGGTCGATTTTCTCCCGACATTCCATACAAAACAAGAAAAATCGTACGATAATAGTGAAATTAACGCAACGCGTGCTAATTATTCACACACAAAAAACAGAATGATAGTAATGACACCTACACAGGATACCAGAGGGTCGGGTCGGTAAAATAGTTTCAGATTTAAAAATGTGTGCTATTACTCACTCCAGGAGACATACTACATATTGTTGATCATAGAGGGCGGAGCGCAAATATAATGATAATTTTATGCTACATGATTGATTACAGGTTACATTTGTTTCAAGACTAAAGAAGTGTTGGTATGCAAATGTACTACCTAACTGAAAAACGTTTGCATAATTTTATTCATATTGTGCTTGACGTAGGTATCACTCGTATCAGGTATCCATGCCCAATTTTAAAACTTGATAACGGCACCTTTCGCGTCTCTTATTATGTGCGATAAAGAAATAGATGGTTAATTTAAAGTAACAATTCAGTAACTTAGCAATTTTATAAAACCTGTTCTAAAGTTTATCATTGTAGTTTAGTAGTTAGGTAACAATGCTTCAAAATAAACAAATAAAATTAAAACTATACAATAATAGACTGTATCTACAAATTCAACTGCCTACTTGAAGAGAAGATGAATTCGCGTGAGATGTTAAATAAAATGACAACTCGATATAATATGACGTGCGAGAAACATGGATTAAAAAACCCCTGAAAAAACCTAATTAATCCGTGCGAGAAATGATCTGATCAATTCCCTGAATTGATTTAGTGAAACGAGAAAAAACTATCAAACACGTGATTTTTAATATCAGAAAAGAAAATTCTAAACTGCAAAATCATCTTTTCATTCTTTTCTGCATTCAAGATAAAAAAATTCCTTTACTAATCACAACAGACAACACAATAGTAGTCAGTCAAGAAGCCACGTTACCCGTATCTATACTGCCTCCTGAGAACGATCCTTTTCCTCGCTAAGACGTTTGAAAGACTATTTGCGCAATTCTACTGGTCAAGAGCGACTAACAGGACTTGCTCTGTTAAGCATTCACAGAAATATTAAAATTGATACCGAGGATGTGGTAAATCGTTTTGCGAGGGAAAAGCAAAGAAATATTCAATTGTTACTATGATTACTATTTGTAAAATTTTAAATTGTTTGTTTTTTCTATAACCTGATATTTTCATATAATACACATACACCTATTAAAAAATGACAGTTTTTTTAAATCCCTAATTTATTATCAAAATCAAATTCCATGGTTTAACCTCGGGTTTAACCCCCCCCCCCCAAATTTTTGTCCAGATACGGCCCTGTGGGTATGCACGGAATCTTTGGACCAAGTCCTTTCAAATGAGCCCTATATCGCCAAAATAGATGCAGTGGTTTAGGAGTACGTGAGACGGACAGACGTACGGACGTCAAAGTGCAGCCAATAGCGATTTTTCACTTTGAGGAAAATACGCTAAAAATTACGAAATTATGACGAATTGTAATTGTACTTAATTTTAATCTTTTAATATTAATACACTCCAAAACTGACCTGACTTAACAACCCATTTCCTGGAAATCATCTCATCCTTTGGAAAACGGTGGTGTCTCAAATTCGGATCGTCTCTTTTCGTTTTGCCACAATTAAAAAAAGAACATTTGTTGCCTCGCACCGCACGATTCATATTTCTAGATAACATACACACTTTTTAATTGGATGACCTTTGTCAAAGAGAGTAGGTACTCTTTGCCTTTGTAGTGCAAAACACAAAGTAGTGCAGCAACTTACGAAGACATATAAGCGACTGTGGCATGGACTAAGGATTAATATAACATAATGGCATTATTTATAAATGAATAACAAAAATAGTAGGTACATATTAATCAAATGATCTATATAACAAAATGCGGAAATGAAACATGCATGTAAACAGTTTATAATTCGTCCAGCATCATTTTATCCTAATGCCGATAAGGTTTCTTGTGTTCTAGTCTAGACTAAAATTTGAAATAAATAATTGGAATCTGGTAGAAATCAGTGGGTAACCAGAAAGCGATCTTGTTTGTGATTGTACAAGTTTGGGTGACCACTTAGAAACGACAAACGGGCGGTTATGTTTTGTTCATAGTTATCGAAAGTGTTTTTCAATTTTCAATGCACTAATTTATATTAAATGCAAACCGTAACAATATGTGCATAGACTAAAGTCCATGATATGTGTATAGGTGATGTTTTTCGTTAGAATTATACATGTCGTTTTCGGTAGATTCCGATTTTTATCCGGCGCGCGTTTTGTCTTTCTTTACAGTGTTCTTTAGCTTTAACTGACATAAAACACTAGCGTCGTTGTTATACAGTGGCTGCGTCCCAAAGCTCAGATAGTTTGCGTCCTTTTTAAGAGCGGTAAGAAATTAACATTGCAGTAAAAGTCTTGGGTTTTTTTAGTCTATGCTATTCGTAAGGCTCATATGGCGTTGCTAAACATCATGTGTAATTTGTAAAGGACCGAAATTTGATGTTTTCTTTTTTATGTAATTTTGTGTAGTGTGTATTATAGTGTGCTAGTTATACATAATAGGCAAATGAAAAATAAGGAACTATTTTTTGCTTCAACCGAAATCGCGCAAACTTAGCCACGTCCAGATGTAGATATTCTGTGGTAACCTGTCTTTGATGGGTATTATTTTGAATTTTTAACGGTTTGTAAAAGTTAAAGTTTTGTCTTTGCCCTGCTGATAAAGCAAAAAGCTTGGCAAAGACGTGATGGACCCAAGCACAAACGAATATGTATGTAACCATTCTTGATGTATTTATACAATCAACTTATCTAGCACCTTCGTTGCAAGTTTCTATGCCCGTAGTACTACTGCATGTACTTTTCTTAGGAATTAGTTGTTAATTGAACTTGATAGTTGCTTGTATAGATGGTAAAGTTAAATTTTGTAGGTTAAAACACGAGAGAAAACTGAACGGAAACAAGATGCTGACGATGAGTGTGATAAAAGCTCTCCAACTTTTGTAGAGAAACCGTCTTCTCGAAGAGTCAGTTTTGCTAGTATGAATTTCATCAAGTAATGTATATAAATTACATTTTGTACATTACAAATTAATTGTTGTAGGCAATTTGCCATAGACCCGGAAAAGAATACAATATGGGATGCGACATACGAAGAAATGCTCACGTTAGATTCAACGCATTCTTCTGAAAATGTGCATGGTACACTGTCTGCGCGGCAAACAGGCAGTTATAATTCGGATATTAGAAAAGGTATGCATAAACACTATATTTTAACCTTGATTTTAAATATTCGCTTTCATCTAAAACACAGTTGTTCGAGATGAGAAATGTGGCGCGTTCTTGCAACAACTTCTAACTTTCTGAAATTTTGCTTAGTGGCTAGTAACGATTTATCCACAACTTGTGTTTTTATTATAAAATGTAAAAAGTTGTAGATGACGAAAGGTACTATTTGTTACATTGTATACTACAAGCGCAGTCTTACTGGCCACCAACAATTAATAAAACATCAAAATTTTTAGAAATTGAAATAGAATTTGAGTAACTAAATACAGAGACAATCAAAGTCAGCTCCGAGGTCTGCTCAAAAACACAGTTTTGTAAGAAATTTTGTGTTTTTCTAGAACATGTTGGGGATGCAGAAGATTTTCAACTTGATTTAAACTTACCTAATATATGGATGGATAAGGAAAATATAAGTTTTCCAAACAATAGTCAAACGCAAAAAGGTAAGTATACCCAAAATTTAAGACAGAATTTCTCGAGGAATTTCTGATTTCATCAGCCTATTGCCATATGCGAGAAATGGCTTTGAAATGTTGTTAGATCAGTGTTCTGCAAACTTTTTACGTAGTCGAGGCTAAATAGCTGTAAAATAATTTATTTTCAAAAAAAATTAGTTACCGGGCGAAACCGGGTTTTTCAGGCAGGTGAAATGAATAGAAATTGGGAAAAAATAATTAAAACAGCTGAATTTTTCCACGGGTGAAATCCCGGGGGTTGAAAGGAGTGGAAAGTGGTGTTTTGCAAATTGTGGCAAAACTCTTAATT